CGGGTCCTTATGGCTACACACAGGCTAAAGCTCTCGTCTTCTCAAAGCCCGGAGACCCAGCCAAAGTTCTCAAGTATGTGTATGATATATCTCACCGCCAATAAGACTAACAACTGTCTGTAGGCTTCACAGTCACTCTGTCTCCCCTTCTATTCCCTCGGATTCGGTCCTGGTCCGTACTCTCGCCGCTCCCATCAACCCCGCCGATGTCAACACAGTCCAGGGAGTTTATGGCTCTATGCCTCCCTTCACCAACTTAATTGGTACCGCTGAACCTTCCGCTATTCCCGGTAACGAAGGTGTTTTCGAGGTCGTTTCCACAGGCTCACCCTCCTCCTCGCTACAGAAAGGCGACTGGGTCATCCCCGCCATCGGCCAGTTCGGTACTTGGAGAACACATGCGATTGCTGAAGCCGATAAGTTCATCAAGATCGATAAGGAGGGCTTGATTCCTACACAAGTCGCAACCGTGAGCGTCAACCCATGCACCGCCTACCGCATCCTGCGACATTATGGACCCAGTGCTGGTCTTCAAGCTGGTATGGGTATGCGCCCCCTTGAGGTTGGCAGTGGCCAGTGGTTCATTCAGAATGGTGCCAATTCTGGTGTTGGACGAGCTGCCATCCAGTTTGGAAAGCTCTGGGGCTTGAGGAGCATCAACGTTATTCGCGATCGCGAAACACCCAGAGCGACTAACGCTTTGAAGAAAGAGCTTCAAGACCTCGGCGCAGATGTCGTCGTCACCGAAACCCAGTTTCTAGCTGCCCAGTGGAAGGATCAACTAGCAGAAATCACCCGCAAGGGTCGTGAGGAGATCGGTCTAGGTCTCAACTGTGTTGGTGGCAAGTCAGCAACTACAATCGCTCGGTCGCTCGGCAAAGGCGCCACCATGGTCTCTTATGGCGGCATGGCCAAACAGCCAGTTTCACTACCCCTCGCTCTCCTTATCTTCAAGGATGTCCGTTTTCTTGGTTTCTGGCTCAGCAGACTCAATGAGGAGGATCCTACCGGCAGGAGACATGCCATCAACGATATTCTTCAGCTCATTCGATCTGGCCAGTTCCGCGACGTCCCTATCGAGGAGGTCAAATGGGACTGGGAGACAGAGGAGGAGACTCTGCGCAATGCCGTACAGCAGGGTCTTGAAGGATTCCGTAAGGGCAAGGGTATCTTCACATTTGGTGAGACATAGGCGGGATAGAAATACGTGAATAAGAGTATAACGTACATCGTGATTGGCTGGGCTGGCTGTTCCATTATGAACAGGTAAACCAGGCCACTGCAAAGTGTGATAAGTAGCCCTTCCTTAAACCATTGAGCCGAAGGATATACAGACACAGGTCCTCAACGAAAGGAATGACAAATGCAAATAATAGCATGTCAAATATCAGGATCTGGTTTACTGCCTAGCAAAAGCTAATATACATTATATGAACGCCCCAACTCCGGTTGCCTGTGTCATTGCCAATCATTCTATGCCCTGAAAGCCTGTGCCCACTCATGCAGCTTGTCAATGACAACGGGGGCGTAAGATGTTTGGGCCTCCTCGATGATCCGGTCAAAGTGACTCAGTGCCTCTTCTTCACTCAACTCCAAGTGGAAACGGTCTCGGACCTTGAGCACTGCCTTATCAGGCTCGAGTCGGATATCAGGGATGTTGGCATCGACCATGAGACTAAAGAGATTGAGAATGAGATTTGAGTTTTTGCGTAGTGCCGTAAACGCAAGGAAGCAGTACTGCTTGAACTGCTTGTAGTGCTCCGAGTTCACGCCACCCATGCAATCCACCATCTCCTTGGACAGCTTCATCAGAGGCGCGAAAGGTTTGGGATCTCTGCCAAGAATGTAGCCGAAGTCGGCATGGAAGAAGTGGCCGTCAGGTGCAAGAAGCAAGTTCTCCAGGTGACGATCGCCAACGCCTAGGATATACGTGATGACACAGTACCCTGCGCAAGATCTTACGTACGTGTCCAGCGTTTCTTGTCGGACGCCAAGAGGTTGATTGTCATCCGGATTATTAATCTTGAGGTAGGCCAAAGCTGGGTTGTTTTTGAACTTGTTGGCAATACTTGACAAGCTTTGGGATTGTACGAACTGCGAAGCGCCAGCAGAAGTACTTGTCGCCAGGATCTTGTAGGGCGACAACTTGAGGTCAAGGTTCTCTTTCTGCAGCAGTTGATCCATAAGAGTGATGATCTGGATAACAAGCTGATCTTGTCTAAGATCATCGCCCAGCTTGAATATAATGGCATAGGAGGTCCCGTTTGCTGTCTTGAAGGTGCATTTGAAGGGATTTAGTGAAGACTTGAACACAACTGTTTGGTCTGGTATGATGCCCGTAATCAGTACTGAAGGGTCAAGCGGCATCGGTAAGGGCGGGTCGAATGATAACAACTCGTTCTTGGGATCAGCCAGAAAGTGCTTAACTCGGTCGACCTTCTTCGGAATGGATTCATTCGAGGTCTTGACCTCTTGAGCAATTCTTGACAGAATAGCGACTAACTCTGCTTGGCGCAACAGAGTCTTGCGCGTTTCCTGGCCATCTGGCTGTTTGACAAGCTCCGCCATGAAGTCGTATGCGACCTTGCGGTAGATGTTGCGGTTATCAATACCTTGCTCAGGGCTGGCATCGTCACACTCAACCATAAGATACCAGTGAAAATAGTTGCCGAGCAAAAAGTTGGCAGCCGCACGCTGAATCAGAAAACGAGCCAGAGATGAGTCTTGACTGCTTTCCTCTTCTGAATCTGCTGATATGTGCTCATACTTGAGCGCTTGGACAAGTTGAAGAAGATAAAGCAGAAGTTCCTTGTCGTCGGCTTTTCGTAATCTGTCTACAGCGTACGAACGTACAGCAGAGTTGTCGAAGGATGGTCCGAGGAGCTCCAGCGCATCGTCAACATCGATTGCAGTCCAGCGCCCGAGAACTTGAATAGCTTGTCTTGCCTCGCCGTGATCTCTCCAGTTGACAGATTTGACAAACTTTGTCAACGCTCTCTTGTCTCGTGTCAAGTGGTAACGGAATTTCCATACCAGATCTGCCTCCTCTGGGGTGAGAACATGGGTTGGAGAATACGACATTATGAGATTGAGCTCATCTCGAACCTTGGCATTCGGCTTCAAGTTCTTATCAATGATACCGTGCCTGTATGAGCTTCTGAACAGTCTTCGGTGCTTGGCCTCTGCAGGGTTGTCTCTATGTCCAACTTCAGGGTCATAGACTTTAATGAGCCGTCTCCCAGGCGCCGAAGAGCCCTCGCCCACGGCATTGATGCCTGGGCCGTAATGAACCTCCGGCTGACGGTTTGCGAGGCTTGCCTGCGAAACCGAGAGATTCTGGAAAGCTGAAATCGGGGGCGGATCGTATTCGTGGTCAGCGAAGACAACAGGGAAATCGAAACGTGGCAACTCCACGTTTAGTAAGAACGTCGACTGTCCAGGGCGTCCATCCTTGTTTTCGCCATCTTGACTGTCAGGGCCGTTCTCACCGTTGATAGCTCGTTGTCTCTGGAGCATCTTCATTGACGATTTGGCAGCTTGCAGGCCTCGTTTCTCAAAGCTTCGAAAGACCATCTGATCCAGCCAGTCAACCCGAGGGATCTCGCCCATCTCGTGTTTCTTGAACAAGGTCTCCATCCGTTCTAACTCTTCTGCGTCTTTATCTAGTGGAGGGACTTCCCCTTTTCGCGTTGTTTTCTTCTTTGTGGAAACCAACGCGGGCGTTGTTGAGTTGTCGGTGCCGTCTGCATTCTTGTATCGGTGAACAAGACACTTTTGCCTTCCCTTCTGTACTTGATTGTCCTCATCAAACATGGGCAGTGTCGTGCCGCCAAACGGAATAGCATGGCCAATGGCCCCTTTACCGCCAGTCGGCGATAGATCCCATACTGTTATAGCCAAGCATGAGTTCGCTGGTAAGGAGTCGTATGTAATAGGTAACTGTAGCCACTCATTCCATCTAACTTGGTCAATACGTCGTGCGCCATCACATTCGGGGGTTATCGTACTTTCGCTCGGATCGAAAAGGTTTATAAGCGGTCTGAACAGGGACAGTCAAGGGTTTCGATCCAGCCCAAATCTGCACTGTGACATAAAGGTCAGAGCATGGGCTAACAGCTCTTGTTAGTCTATCGCATAAGTCAGGGCAGTGAGCAATGTCGCGGACCTCAGGTTGGACCCAACGTGGCGCAGGTCGGGGCGCTCGAGAAGAGTGGAGTACTTGAAGGGAGGTTCGTCGCCCTCAAGATTCATACTGCCAAATGTCAGCTTCAGTATTCCCATGATGGGGGGGGGGGGGGGGGGGTCGGTTTGAGGGGCATTACATGCGAATAGTCACTGGATGATGGACGTCCTTGGAAGCCGCAAAGGAGAACGGGTCCATGCGCCCGTACTCAGACATGATAGGCTATGTCATGCTGTGTGAATAGAAGAGAAGTAGAAATGCGCGCAGAGAATGAGAGCTATTCTTAGTGTTGGAGGTTCTGAGTTGCGTTGTGAATATACCTTAGGCAGGTTGGTAGTGGTAGTGGCTGGTGTTGAGTTGCGATAAGATAAGGAACCTAGAGTGACGTTCATGGTACCTGCTAAGGTAGCTCATCAGCTTGATCACGGTGGAGAAGATCACATGGGCCCCGTCATACATAGTAAGTCTACCTCAGCTTCCATCCATATAAAGGCACTCCACAGATATCACTCTGGCTGTTCAGAGCCAAGATTCATTGACCTCCTCGATGAGCAATCGAAACGCGAATGTTTCTTTTCTATTCACGTACTTTCAAAATCAATCATTCGCTGAGCCACTGACCAAGCCCTTTATTTGCTTGTCTATGAATTCCCTCTTGTGGCTAGCTCCTTGATCAGCCGCCGTTACCGCATCATTGGAACCTCTACTACCGGACTAAGGATTGACACTTTTTTGCTTTTTATTTAGCTGCTCACTTCCCAGTCCGTAGTGACTATTGATGGGATACACCACGTTCTCGTATTTTCATCAACCAAACATGGGCATGTGTCGAGATTCATTTCCCGAATATCAACCAAGATGCTACGTAGCATTGCTAGTCGAGCTTCTTTGTAAGTGCCCCTGGATAAGGTACTCTTATGAAGGCACGGAGTAGTCAAGTAGACATGACAGGGCATCTCGATGCCTAATGACCCCAGACTTTCTTATACTTTCCGTCTGCCGACTAAATAAATTGACCAGTCCCAGGCATTGGTTCATATCATACTACTTCGTAAATTACCTAGGTATGTAGCTACCCTCTGCGGCACTTATATCCCGATCCGCGGTCCTGTCTCATAGCGGACATGGATACTGCATAGCTAGGCGCATCCCAATCTTCAAAGCGCATAGCCCAAACCTACAAGCCACACCATCATCCCCATCAATCAATGGATATCCCTCAGAGACATGCACCAAAACTCTAGGCATTTCGTATCCCTGGCCTAGCAAGCCCCAGCATCTGAGCCTCTGTAGGTCCTCTTGGACCTATCACGTGCGGCCTTTTGAGGCGTCAGCGTCATAACTACCTAGGTGCTAGTTATGCCTATAGTAATCTCAACAACCTTCAACTCTCGGACTCAATGCTGTCTCTCTCTCTAGAGCATTGCTCTCTGCTGCTCCAACCCATGCCACGACCTCGGCCCGCCCAAAGAAGGCCAACATGTCTCTTTCGAGACGCACCGATGCCGCCTCCAAGTTTACGTCTTCGGGGAGATATACCCCAGAGGCCATGATAGTCATAGTACGGCCCCTGTCGAATTCGATACTCGAGTACTCCATTTAACACGCTTTATAGACTTGTGCCACTATTTCGCTGTACAATGGCATCGAGCTGCTTCTCCTCATCTTGACATCATCCAGGCGGCATAACGACCTCTTCTCATGGAGCCTTGCTGTGGCTTCTGTGGGTGTGCTGCCGTATGCGAGTGGCTGGCTGGTTCGCTATTTCGATGTTGTAGGGGACGTTGCAAATATGTTCATAAACGACATTGGCTGGATACTCCTGACTACTGGCCAAGCTCTTGTTCTATATTCTCGACTCAACTTGCTCGTCAAAAGTATCACCATTTTGAAGGTTACGAAATGGATGGTTATCCTTAATGCTATTATATGGCACAGCGCGGTTACTGTTCTTTTGTTTGCTATCAGCACGCAGCAAAAACTCGACCGCAACGGTGCGTTCATCAAGGTCCAAAAGATTCAGCTGGCATTCTTCTGTGCTCAAGATTTCTTCCTTTCAGGTCTTTACATTTGGAAAACGATGGAGATCATCAAGAGAAAAGAAGCTGAAAACCAGACTCCTCCGATAATCTGGCACCTGTTCGCTATTAACGTGGGAATCGTTATAGTCGATGTCACGCTCCTCGCCGTTAGCTTTACCAATAATTTCCTGTGGCAACAGGGCATCAAGACAGTGGCCTACTCGGTAAAACTCAAGGCTGAGTTTGTTATACTCGGGAAACTCAGCGACTACGTTCACAAAGGAGGTGAATTGATCAATGTCGAACATCCTGTCTTTGGATTTGTAGAGATGGAGCCCGAGCCTCCGTCAAGAAAACAATCGATACAGCCATCAGCCACCCCCGAGACTACACATTTAGAAAGAGTGAGGAAGCAGTCGACTATTTCTGCTGCAGAGTCGTCACGCAACCGAGAGTTCATGTCCGATGGGATCGCGACACATAGAAGCGAAGGCGTCAAGAGGCGTACACTGGATAAGGGCAAGAGTAAATGCATGGAAGATTGTTGCAATACTGGCGTTTCGGCATCAAAATAGTATTATACCCAATGTTTAGTCAATTTCTGAAATTTCAAACCATTATGCTGTCTTAAGGCCAGTCAAGATATGGTGGTATTAGAATCCTGAAGTTGTTTAGTGTTGCATTCTTGGAAGACTATCAGACTGGTCGGTCTATTAAAGAATTTCTCGAGCATATGTACAGCCAGTATTATTACAAATTACTACAGATACTTGTACATCACCCCCCCCCCCCCAACTCCTCTTCTTCTATGCTCTGCTCATACAACAACAACATCACCACCAGCATCTCGTCACCGTCATCTCGTCACCGTCATCTCGTCACCGTCATCTCGTCACCGTCATCTCGTCACCGTCATCTCGTCACCGTCATCTCGTCACCGTCATCTCGTCACCGTCATCTCGTCACCGTCATCTCGTCATGTTTTACGTCTATTTGTGTCCCTGGAGATGCCAGTCAAACACCTTCATAAACACTTCCTTTCCATCTCCCTCTAAAACATCTCCATGGCAAGGAATCATGGTATGAAAGTCCCACTTGGCGATCTGCGCCATGCTGTCGTTGAAACTTTCACGGTTCTTGGCGAGTAGATACCAGTTGAATCTCTGTAACCACTTGGTATCGCCACGGGGGTTCTGAACACAGGCAAAGAGCTTGCCAACAGCTCCATCTGCGGGCAATTCTGATTCGGGCACTTTACTGTACTGCTCGGTGGGGGGTAGGTTAAAGAGAAGATCAGCCTGGATCAGGACTTGCTCAGGCTTGTAGAAGAAGACAATCTCAAGGTTGGCGTGGCCGTCGACGTATTCATAGTCAAAATCGGCATCGAAGTCGGGGTCGATCTTGATTTCCCGCTTGTTTTCCTTCTTGAAGACAACAGCAAACTCATCGTCGTTGATCTTGGGATCGTCGGTCTGCTTGGCTCGCTTTTCTGGGAGGCCCTCTGGGCCGATGATCTTGGCTGACGGGTATGCCTTCTTCCACTCCGACAGGAATATATGGTGCTCATAGTCCAGAGCAACGATATAGCGGACATCGCCTCCCATCTCCATGACTTTGGCTTGGGTGGCTTTGGTGAGTGCGACTGGTGAGAAGATGGCAAGGCCTCCAGAGGTGAGCTTGACTATTGGAGGTCAGTATGGCGCTCAAGTTACTTGTTATGAGTAGGAGAGCATACCTAGAGTGCCTCGGCCACCGATCTTGACCTTTCCAAATCGTGAAAAGGGGACTGAGAAAGTGGCAATGTTGGGGGTGACATTGCGAATGACCATGACATGATCAGGGTCTGAAGGGATGAGTTTGGACGACATTTCTGTTGAGTTGGAGGTTTCTGACTGCGTGCTGAGGTTGTGATCCTGTGCTGGTAGAGTGAGAGAGGTTGTGAGTTTGGGTCTGTTGATTGGTGATGTCGCAATATGAGGTTGAAGATGTATGACGTTGAAGTCGTGTGTTGGAGTCTGTTTATTATTAATCGCACGTGAAAATAGAAGGAGTCGTTGTTGATGCCGGAATGATCTGGATGCGTTGATGTTTAAGTATTGAATTCGAGACGTTGGACGTATCATTACGAGCAAGGTAATTAATTAATCAATCAATCAATCAATCAATTAATAAATAAATAATTGTCATCCAATGTCGAGGCCGAGCTTGAACTTGAATTGGTAATATTCCAGTTGAGAATGGAATTAGTCTTTGCATTTCTTCAATGACATCAACATTCCGATCCATATTGACAATCAATCGGCCGACTCTGGCTGACTTGGCCCGAGACCCTGGAAATCGGGGCTGCTAATTCAAGCGTCAATAGTGGATACAACGGAGCAACCGACATCCATGGATGTGAGGTGAGTGTTCTTGGTGCTTGGGTGCTGTAGTGTAGGTACATATTTGAAATACCGTTGACTACCTGTACCTACCTAGGTACCTTAGGCAATACGCCGCCCTGCATGCACTTTTAGGCTGGGATGCAACACAAGCAAGGTACCTTACTGAGGTGACCATTTTAGTTCCCTTATCTACCATGTACATCCCTGGCAAATAGGATCGATACTGTCAAAGTTACTGGCAGCTCACACACAATTGATTGATTCCAAATATCATTTCAACGGTAGCTTGATCCATCCGGCACGTTACTTCGCCCCGAGAGCCCGATATAAGAGTTCAACCTCGGCCCAATTAGGGCTCTTCGGTACGGGTATAACTTTCTGGTCAAATGAACGATTTCAGCTAAATTATATGGAAGCTCGTTGGTTTTGGATATTTGGTCCTCGACTGCATAACATAACCCAACACTGAATATGATATTGCAGGCAGCTTCAACTCAACTAATCTCCAGTCCAAGAGAACGTTGGGTCCAAGAATCCTTAACCCAACACCACTATATCTTCGAAGCGACTATTAACAAACAAAAACTAAAAAATCCTGAATCCCCACCCACTATCATTTCCATCAGCCACCTGTCAGTTTGTATGTCTTGGTTACCAAGATTGCACTTGCAACGACATCTGTGAAAGACGCCCATAATGGAGTTACAGATGAAGTCAGAAGCTGCACAGCAACACATAGACCGGCAAACATCCAGGATAGCAATGCCCCCGGAAGCCCAAAGATATACCCCAAAGAGCTTGTATAATAAGAGAGTAAAGTTGATACCCATGGCAGCTGTATCGCCATGTACGTCAACATATGATCCCTCGTCTGGCCGTTGGCCATAAACCACAGGTGTCTTTCCTGGCATACCTCTAACCACCAACCAAGAACATACAGGAAGAAAAAGTGGTTGAAAACACAACCCAACTCCACATACTGAACTAGGTTGGGGGATTTCAGCACTTTACCGTCATTATCCACATTCCTACACCTGATGAAACGCTGAAAAGACCAGGACATAAGTTGATAGACAAACTCGATGGCAAGGCACCAAGCCGAGACCTGATTGCGTATCAATAGCTTCGCCAACAACATCAAGTCCCTAAGCCCCAGTTTCAGGTATTGGAAGATACCAGAAGCCTTTGTTGATGAATGTGAAAGGGCAATATCAGCGGTAGCCCCTTTAGTAGGATCTGGATCCGGATCATCGCCGGTATCACTGTTCCCTGGCGCTGGCGTGTTCGCCTCTTGAGATGCTTCAGGTATGTCTGAGGATTCACCGGTGCCGTTGCTCGACATGTCTCCAGCAGGGCCATCTCCTTTCTTATCTTCAGAGACAGCCTCCTTCTCACCATCACTGTCCTTCTGCGGAGTTTTCTCCTCTTTCGGACTACTCTGCCACTTGTTGGGTGAGTCTCCGCCTCTCGGGCTGCTTTGCGGCGTCGTGCTATATTGCGTTCCAGCGGACGAAGGAGGGCTCAGGTAAGGGCCTCGGGTCACGGACTCTCTGTTTTTCTTGATCTTTTGCTGCCGAACACTGAACTCTCGAGAAATTCCAGGTCTGAAGCTTGTCGCTGGCTTGCTGTCTGGAATAACAGGATGCTTCGTTTCACTACTTGCGTTCATCTCTGCATTTTCACCGCTATGGTCATCGTTACTGCTAACGAAGCT